GGAAAAATAAAAATGTTTTATTTTAATGTTATTTTTGAAGTATAATTTCAATTATACTACCATTATTTTAATGAAATCTTGTCACATGTTATGTGTTTAAAAAAAACCGTCGTACAAAATTTTCCTGATCTCAGAATTAAAAATTTTGTATAGAAACTGATCTTAAAATTGCCAAATGTTGACAAGTCGCCAAATCAGAACCGTTTAATAAACGAATTCACATCCTTAAAAGCGAAAACTTGTTTAAGAGCTTCTTCACTTAGAAAAAAATGAATTTCCAAATACTTATGCTTTACTTCTTGCTTAGAAACTCGAGTATCCATCATTTATGTTAGAAACAGAAACAAATTATAACTCATGAAAGCCATTCAAAAATACCATATATAGTAATCGCCAAATATCTCCAAATGCTAATTACACTCAAATGGCAGCATAAAAAGAAAATTCGATGATAAATTAAGGATCTTCTGCTGATTTTGGCCAAAATTAAGAACTTTTAAGCACCAAAAATCGATTTCAATCAAAATTAAGGACTGTACGAACCCTGGTCTCGTGATCTGCAATATCACGTACGCTGAGCAGAAGTTCTTTATTCAAACTTCACGTTACATCCATTCGCACAGTGCTAGCTGCTTGGATTTTAAAAGGCAATGTGTTACGTTTCAAATCAATCGGATTGAAAGTTTATGTGCAATGTCTCCTTCTTTAGTCGAGCGTGCGTTACTGGTCAAATTCTTTTACCTCAACCAGTGCAACGCGTCAGCCGCTCTTCGTGCTTTTAGAACGCCAAAAAAAAAAAAAAAAAAAAAATGCGTCCTGTGTCAGTTAATGGGCTAAAAGCAATGGTTGCGACGTTTGAGAAAACAGGTTCTCTGAAGGTTCAGTCAGGCAGAGGACGAAAACCTGTACCACAGGATACAATCGAAGCAGTTGCCACGGCGATTGTCGACAGAGGACCAGACAATATTGCTGCCACCTCTAGCGCTCGTGGAGTAGCTCGGAATATGGATATGCCTTACAGTACGGTATGGAAAATCTTACGAAAGATTATCAACTTCTATCCGTACAAGATCAGCCGTGTACAGGAGTTACTGTACCCCGACCATGATAAGCGATTGACTTTTGCTCTCACCTTTCTTGCCAGAATGGAGGTGGATGATGCTTGGCCGTGGAAAAATCTTATGGGGAGACGAGGCCCACTTTTACCTGAATGGAACTGTGAATACCCAGAACTGCCGAATTTGGGATGACAAATCACCACATGCAGTCACAGCAATTCCCTTACATTCACCAAAGGTAACTGTTTGGTGTGGGTTCACAGCGGAATTTATCGTAGGTCCATTCTTCTATGAGAACATTACCCCGACAGGACCGGAAACCTGTTCTGTTACCGGAGAGAAATATCGCCACATGTTGAACAGCTTTGTCATTCCGGCACTTCAGCAAAGAAATGCCTGGGGGAAATCATTTTCATGCAAGATGGAGCCCCTCCACACGTTGCTGTACGGGTGCAACAGATACTATGACAGAAATTCACAACAGAAAGAGTTATTAGCCACTACTTTCCAACTGCATGGCCACCTCGGTTGTCTGATCTTTACGTTGAAGGATAACATATCACGGACTGTATCGGAGATTCCTGCAGACATGTTACTTTCTGCTGTTGCGCATACTGTGCACAGAATGCAATATGTGGTCCACAACAACGGCAGCCACATTGAACCTCATTTGAATGCAAAATAAAAGGTAATTTCCGTATTGATTTGCATTTGTTAACACTCTATTTTCTATTACACAGCGCCAAATATTCCCCTAGCGGTGACTTTTGGAACTAATTTGTTTTTTCGCGGAATCCTTCGTCCCCCGTCTTGTTTAATCTTCCTACAAAATGTGGCGTCATTCTCGCAAATAGATCGCACTACAGAACACTGTGAGCACTGTCAGTTTAATTATGGCAACCCGGTATGTATAATAAGTCGTATGCAATTGCCAAATTTTTGTGTTTTCAAGTGGTACCATAATTACCTTTCAGTGCAGCCAACGTGCACTATGCAGATACTGGAATTTTCTCAAAACACGCCTGGAAAAGTCAGTTTCATTCTCCTCTTTAAGTGGCAACCCTGTATATTGCACTACTTTTCTTATATGTAAATTATGATCTAGTTGAAAAAATAATTATATTAAACAGCCTGTTAACAAGAAAAATATGACAAAGTGAATTTTTTATGCTGCATTTCAACCTAATTTAAAAGGGGCTTATATGAGGATTTTTATACATAATGTATGGTATACGGTTATTGCAAAAGAAGACAAACAAAGCTTTTTCACTTTTTATTACAGAAAATGTTAAAATTAATACAAAAATTTCTTTAACATGGCAAAGAAAAATTCCGAAGACAATGCATAAGAAGTTTTAGCATTATGTTCAGATGTACCCTGTTTTATTTATGAGCACATCAATACATTTTCTTTCTATAAAAGTAGTGATCATCTCAATTTCTTTGTTAGTCAGTTGAAGCATACATAATGCATTTCATACATCATCTACACTTTCACTCTAATCTTTCATACTTAATAATCCATTTTCACACATAACCTAGATATCCATTTCCCCTCTCCCAGAATAGTCAGGAACTGAGGGCTGCAACATTAATAGCGCTATGTTGCTTATTGTAAAGTGTAGTTATAAGTCTGTTAAGGTCTATTAATATTATGTTCACTTGAAATGTTGATGATAAGAACAATACATGTTTTTCAGATTCCTGCCTTTAGGCATTTCCAATAAGTATTACATTAGCCACAATTGAATAACAGGTTTTTTTTTTTTTTTATATGTCTCTCTAATGATGCAAATCTAAATTTTTTTCCCCAGCTGCAGTGATTAGAGGATCTTAGAACCTTTACTCCAACACGACACAAGTAATCCTACCAGCAAAATCTAGAAAAAAATGCACTCCTAGGTTTTTTTCTAAATTCCTTCACTGGTTTCAATTTAAACAACTGTCTTTTTATTCTTCATATTTAAAAATTATTATTAAATATCTCTGTACCAAGATATCTAACATATGTTACAAATATCTTTTTGCTAATTAAAAAATAACACAGCAGATCTTATCACTTGGATTATACTATACAAATTAAATGCATTTTAATTACATTAAATTAATATACTATTACAAAAGGAATTTATTTAAACTGCAGACAATTAAAAAAAGATATTACAGTCTGCCAAATGGCAAAAGTTCTGCAAATTGGCTTTAGGTATGGTTATTTGAAAGATAAAGTTGTATGTTCTGCTGCAATGGCAACAATAATCAAACTATGGACATCGTAAGTACAATATAATGCACTACAAAGGAAGAAAATCTGCAAAGAATGGAAAAGATGTTTCTAACATCAAAAAACCATTCAGTCACATGTTTTCAAGATTATGTTTAATGCCACAGAATGAAGTCGAGTAATATTTTAAGCACCATATATATATATATATATATATATACACGAGGCATATTTGGAAACTAAGTACTGTTTTGAAAAGAAAAAATAGTAAAACAATTTTTTCGAATCCAATTCTATTTTTACATGAAAATACATGTCAAACTATTTTTCAACATAGTTTCCGCCAATGATCAAACGCTTGTCATAGCAGGTGACCAGTTTTTGTATACCATCGTCAAAGAAACTTCCCGCCGGTTTCGATAACCACGACTCCACAGCATTTTTCATGTCATCGTCAGATCCAAAGTGTTTGCCACCAAGCTCGTGCTTTATGTGCAGGAACAAGTGATAGTCGGACGGCGCCAAGTCCGAGCTGTATGGTGGGTGATCGAACTGCTCCCAATGAAACTGTCAAATTAACGATTGAGTGACACCAGCAGTATGGGGCCGAGCATTGTCATGGAGCAACACAATTCCTTTACTGAGCATTCCTCTTCGTTTGTTTTGAATGGCACGCTTATTTGTTAAAGTCTCACAATATCGTGCCGCATTAATGGTTTCACCTCTGGGAAGAAATTCAGGAAGCAAAACGCCTTTCCTATCCCAGAAGACAGTGCACATGATTTTTTGTGATGACATTGTCACTTTGAACTTTTGTTTTTTTGGAGAATGAGTGTGTCTCCACTCCATCGATGTTGTTTCGATTCTGGTGTGAAATGACACACCCAAGTTTCATCACCTGTCACAATTTGGTTTAAAAAGTTTTCTCCCTCATCACTGTATTGCGTGAGAAATGTCAGGGCACTACCAAGTCGCTTTGTTTTGTGAACATCAGTGAGCATTTTTGGAACCCATCGGGAACACAGTTTGCGATAATTTAAGCGGTCAGACACAATTTCGAACAAAACAGTATGTGAAATTTGTGGAAATGCCCTCTGAAAGAGTTGTCATTGTGAAGCGTCTGTTCTCATGAATTGCTTCATCAACTTTCCTTACCAAATCATCGGTGACAACAGAAGGCCGACCACTCCGAGCCTCGGTGTGGACATTTGTTCGACCTGCATTAAACATTCTTACCCACTTTCTCACCATTCCATCACTTATTCACCGTAAACTTCTGTCACTTGACGATAAATTTCGGCCGGTTTAACATTCCTCGCGTAGAAAAATTTAATCGCAGCACGAATCTCACAGTCAGCGGGAGAACTAATTGTCTTAAAAATTTTGAATGTGCACAGCAAATTGGAAACACAACATAGAGCAACCAAAATGGCGACAATTGAAAGTCAGTGAACAAGAAAGACTAGTGCACATGCATGGGACGCCTACCACAGCGCTGCAACGGTGCTAGAATGAAACGGTACTTAGTTTCCGAATACGCTATGTGTGTATATATATATATATATACATAAGACTTTATAATTCTTATCTTTTATTCTTTTAGTTAATTCAAGGATGATGACAAAAAAATTTAAACCATCAGCTGGGGTCCAGTTATTTTTCCCTTCATAAATCAATCTTTCATTTTACATATAACAACATAGAATTAGAAAATCACTTACCTGTTTAAAAATCTGTTGAAGCAGTTCAAACTATCAATTTTATTTGTTGACTCCAGATGAAAAAATTCCAACTTTTTCAATATCTGCACTGCCATTACAAGAAACACTTTCTCAACCCAATTAAGGCCATATACATAGTCTAAATGATTAAAAGATGGCAAGTGTGAAAAAAAAATCCCAAATTAGATATTCCATTATAAGAAGCCTTGCATGAAATTCATGACAGTGTTAATCAGCGGTCAATAACTGAAATTATTCATGCAGTAATTTGTTGCAAATAAAATAATTAAATGAATAAGCAAGACCTTTTGATGACAACTTTTCCTTATTTAATAACTGAAAGCTTCTGTTTGCAAAAATAAATGAACATATATATATTTGTACTTCTCAGGACTAAAACATTAACATATATTGAAATTTAATATAGTGAATAAAATCTATAAAGTATTCCAACCACCTGGGATTTTGTAATACTTTTGTGTAATGATGTGAAAATATTTATGTATTAAACTCGAATAAAAGTTGGCAAATGACTGCTTTACATGCAATATAACATATCAGATATTTATACCCATCCAATATTTGAAAAATTGTGGAGATTCTGATTCAGATGTTCACATACATCTAAAACTGAAGTTATTGTGATTAAGTTTAAGAAATAAGTGAAATTTTTATAGGTTATCTTAAAAAATTACTAACAAAGTAGACAACATAAAACACATTTCTGCAAGTTATATTCTACAAGTTATATAAAATTTGGCTGATCTGCCACACATATTGGATTGCTAATAATTTGATATAACTGCAAATATTTTCTCAGATTACATTGTCAATTACACACTTAAAAGGAAAGTTAACAGTTTCATATATATTATCTCTACTACTAAATAATGAAGAATGTATGTTTCTCTCATTGTAGAATAACAGTAACACTTAGAGGTACAGCTAGAGTTTTCAATACACAGGAACAAACACAAATTTCACTCTCCCTCCTGTTTGCTGAAATATTTTCTTCTAATACTTCACAATATCCAACTTCGTAGATGCTCTGCTCGGGAACAGATGTCAACCCTTGCCCTCCCTAAATATGCCAAGGCACCCAGACTGCTGAATCTTGAACATTCCTTTATCCAATCATGTGTCAAAAAATCAACTTAACCCACTGTCCAGTGATCTATTTCTAATCCCTTCTTGTCATTGGCTGATCTCCTTACACATGTGGTTACACCCCCAAAGGCATTTTGAAACATTCTTTTTCAGATCAGTCCAGCAAGCATCTGAGATACACCAAAATTACTGAGACAAGTCACCTGCAGTATTATCCATAATGACACCCTCCATTGTGAGCTCAATGTAACCAAACTTAAGGAATATTTTAAATATAAAACCAAAAGATGTGTCAGAAAAATCCTTAAACTGTGCAATTGTGGCATGATTCCAAAACGAAACTACAATTATAGCACTAACCACAGAAGACCACCTGCTGTTCTAAGATAATTTTTATTCTCTCATGTGTTTAAATAAATAGAAAAAATATTCTTCCCTATTAATACCTTATTATACTGTTCAACCAACTTGTCATATTGTTCAATCCACTGATACTATCTTAATAGTTAAGTTCTCAGTCTAATAAATTAGGTAAAGTAAAACTCACATCATCCCTTCACCTTTGAAACTTTTCTTAGCTATATAAATTATCTTCTTCCATAGACCCATTCATACATCATATTCATTATTACCTGCAAACCTATTTAAAAATTTTTTAATACCATCTCTCATGTTCACATTCTGTTTACTTCGTATATGTAAATCACGTAAGTTACCTACTGCACTTACACTAGCTCTGGTTTATCTTTCGTTAATGAGATGTCGCTTTTTCAATGCTGCATTCATCCCCTTACCGCTCAGCTCTCTTCCACACCCCAACCAGTGGAGGAGCCACAGCAGTCACGTGACAGAAACCTCCTTGCCCAACAACGTCAACCACTCCTACCCTCATCATTTGAGCCTCGAACAAAACATGTATTGTCTCCTCATCAGCTCCAGCTAATTCCTTCAACTTGCCAATAATTGCTAATCAACTCTGCAAGGACTCTCAAGCATCCATTGACATAAACTTTTCTATGCTAGACAAATACCAAATCTTCGAATATTTCCAACAATGCAAATAGTCTGGGATAGTGCATCTGCATGGGACACTGTTTTGCAAACTATGTTTGTCTGAGTAGTCTGAAGTTAGTCAATTGATGCTTTACACCGCAGCTTTTGATTTTGTATCCAAAGGGGGAAAAAAATAAGTTAGAATTTTCTACATTTTCAATACCTCCCTAATTGTTCTGATTTTATATTAGAAATATAACTAATCTTTCACTTACAACATGCTGATCTATAAATACAAGTTAACCAAAAATGTTCTTGCCGATTTTGATACAACATTGGAAGAGTGAACCCCAACATAAAAATAGATGATGAAGTGGTTAGGATGGGAGACTGGACATTTACAAAGAGTATAAAAGCGTGCTACATTTGTAACTCACACAGCGAATGATTGAAATGAACGCATCAAAGGTGCTCATTCAGAGTTGTTTGCTATATGATTTTAAAGGGGCCCTGGCAGCAGCAGAATCAAGTCACCAAATTGCCAGAATTCGTTAACGAACGAGCTACTAGTCAATGGTTCCAGAAGTTTCAATGAAAATAAATAAGAAAATAAATAAAATTAAATTAAAAAAAAAAAAAAAAAGTTGGTTCGAAATTATCCAAAAAGTGCTTGAAAAAAATTGAAATTGAAGCTGAAAGCAAATTTGACAATAATTAAGCCTAATTATGCTTTTAACGAAGATTTGTCTGGTGAAACTCTTGAGAGCATTTCAAATATTTTAGAAAACATGAAATTTTTTAAGAATTTTTAATTTCCAAATTTTATGAATTTATAATAAATAAGGCAAAGATAAGCAAAACAGTATGAAACTAAGAGCTTCTGGTTACAACTGATGAATTGAGTGTTCCACCCCCTCTGGCTACCATACTTTATGTAGTGAACATGATTACTGGTTAAAGGAAGATCTCGTGGTACTGATGGTAAAAAATGTCTTGAAACAAATATTTAGAAATTACATCTGTAATCCATTTTGTGAACAATTAATTATGCAGCAATGCAAAAATCAGACTGGGCATTCAAAAATAAGAAAATTATTCATGCATATTAATTAGTTTTCAAAAATTTGGAATTTTTTATAAATTTCTCTTGCTGAAATGATTTGATGACAGTCATTCTTTCAAATAATTTCTTAAAGGCAAACCCATAATGTTTAGCTATAAATTTTGGCCATGTGTGGAGTAAAGGGCTACCATTAAAATTTTGTTATACTGTAATGTACAGCGTTTTGACAATACTCCTAAAACTTCGACAGAATCACTTGGAACATGACTGGTAGCCAAATTATATTTTTTGACAATTCTTTTCATTCTTATAACCTGCTGGTTGAATTAAAAACAAGTATTCAGAGCCTTAGGAAAAAACAGAACAGCTTCTTGCTCTTTAATGCCTGATACGGAAGGATACCGAGTAAGCAACAACAAATTTTGCACACACAAAGCCTGTAACCCAAGTTTCAAGGCATCAAAAACCTTCAAAAAGGTTTGAAAGAAAAATAAAAAATTTTGCAACCTAGTACCACAAGCACAACATTAAAAAAAAAAAAAAAAAAAAAAATTGGGTGGTGCTGACCAGCATGACTGGCTCTTAGAAAAACAAACAATTCACAACCATGGTCAAAAATGGTACCAGCCAATATTTACAAGAGTTATTGACACAGCTGTTGCAAATATGCATATTCTCTGCAATTAACACTAGAACAGCAGTAGGGGTCATTTTAAACCCTGAACTCTTTTTACCATTGATTTTTGTTTTATTGGAAGAAATCGTTTGGAATTTTTTTCACTTTTCCTAAATATATAACATATTTTTAAAAATTTTCAGCATTCTAGGTTTGTTAGTTTTTGAAATATTGGCATGCATTCCTAGAATGGCAGACATAAGTCATTTTGACCCCTTTACTTTTATCCCTCTTTCTGCTCCAGGCATTGTCAAATAACCCATGAAACACATTTACTCATACAGATTTTTCGATTGCATTCATAATACTATCTCCCAGAAAGATAAAAACCTGGGTGGTCTCAATACTTTGTAATGTCTACATAAGTTGTTCTTTCTTTGTTTGCAATTATCTATTCATTTAAAGAAAATACTGCAAAGAAGGTAGATGCAGGATTTTTCTTGCTTACATTTCTCTTCAGAAATAGTTTATTTTACAGATGTATTTTCACATTTGTTAGTTCAGCTTACTTACTGCAGGTGTTTTCTTGGTAATCCCAAATTAGTATTTGGTATATATGAATTCTTCCCCCCCCACACACACACACATATGAATTGAATTCTTCCCGGTAAGTTCATTATCACCTTTCCTTTATGATGTGAGAACCATATGCTAAAATATATTCCCTATGTTTTCTGATATTTTTCTACTTTTTCAACTTACGGAGATTAAAAAATTGTTGCAAGAGCTCTCTGAAAATGAGTCTGACGAAGGCAAAATTGATAATTTTTCTGTAGAAACTAAAAATGTATTCCAGACACAAATTATTAGTGAATCTGAGGACCGTGAAGTAAACGAAGAACTCAGCAGAAATAAACAGGCAAAAACTGATCAGGGTATTTCCAAAACTGTTTTTACAGCTCCTGATAACACTATACGGAATGAAATAAATTCCAAAAATTCAGTCTGTGGCCGTGTTCCTGCTTATAATGTTCTAAAAAGAAACAGCAGGAACAACATCTTTCGCAAAGAGTCGTGTTTCTGAGGACAAAGTGTCTAGTGCTTCCAAGCTTTTTACTGATGATGATATCTTGCTGCATATAAAGTAATGTACAGAATCCGACACTCATCGGCAACTTGAAAATAAAGATGAAGTTATCTCTGGCTGAGTTAGATGCTTTTATCTCACAGTCCGAAGCATGGGGAATACCATTTTCCAAAGAAACTATATCACGAGATAGATTCAAAGAAATTTAACGATTTTTAAGGTTCGATAAAAAGACAAGATCTACTGGATTTTGCTCTTGCATGTGATTTATTGAAAACTGCAAAACATGCTACCAACCAAGACAAAATATTAGTTGATCAACAAGTATTCCCATCTATAACTAAGTGTAGATTTACACAATATATACCTAATAAACTTGACAAATTCGGAATAAAATTTTGTTTATCTGTCGACGTTGATAGTAAATACCTCTTGAATAGATTTCCTTATATAGGAAAAGAAGAAACAGCAAATCCTCAATTATGTTTGTCTGAAAATGTCATAAAATTAACAGAGCCACATCTAAACAAAGGGAGGAATATTACCAAGGATAACTATTCTACTAGCATTCAATTAGCAGAAATGCTAAAACCAAAATATACAACTATAGTCGGCACAATGAAAAAGAACAGAAGATAAATTCCTATATATTTGAAAAACATGCGTAGTAATCTTCATTCATCGACAATAGTGGAACATGATAATATCACAGTTGTGTGCGGAAAATGCACTGGAAGAATTGTTAAAAATTATTTTTTTATCAACTGCATAAATTCTTAATATGTATGTGTAACCTCTAATATTTTAAACATTAAATAGAATTGAAACGAAATGCTTTACATATTCCATTCAGCTACACATATAATAATATAACAAACATCAGAGAACATTAATCATTTCTGGACTTAGAGAGTGAATCATTGTCCAAGTACATAAAAAATATTATATAAATTGTGTTTTTAATTTTAGTTTTAATTTGTGAAACCATTTATTTGAAGTCAATTCTTATATTAAATTAGAGTTATTTGAGTAATTGTAGTACGATGCAATTGATCGCCATGTACTCAATACATTTAGAATATTTTAAAATTCAATAAATTATCATGCGATATTAAATATAAATTACGAAAAACATAAAGTACATATTTGTGCCAATGTATGGCATTTAAAAAAATTGTTCTACTGTTGTTATTTCAGTACTTGCACTGAAGGGTCAAAATGAACCCTTACCGCCGTTCCAATAGGTACAATTTTCCTGCCGTTCCAGTGTTAAAAAATTCTGAAAAGTATAAAAGACATTCGAGGATATACTGCAGTTGCATACCTCAAACAATATCTAAAAAAAAGCATTGGAAAACTTTTGGTGATATAATAGAGACCAGAAGTCATGGACTCTGTATGTTTAGATAGAAAAAGACCACAGAGGTACAAGGCAAAACCAAAGATGCCAATTAAAAAATATAGGGGAAGACGTCTTACGTTTTGTACAAAAGGAGATGTAATAAATTCAGGCTTCCAGGTGTTTATATTTAGGTGGAGGACTATGTTATTCAAAACTTGATGGCTCAAGTTACTGTTATTTTTTTCACAATGAGAGAAAGATTTATGCAGATTCTTATTTAATTTCCTTAAATATAAGGTGATAATATTTAATTATAACAATTTGAAAATCAATTCAATGTTTTTAATGACTATGCAAAAATGGTGTTGAGACTAATAGCCTTTCTGGGCTAAAAGTTTGAGTACCTTCTGCAGAACAGAAAGCAACAGTATATTCTAAAAACTGCCAGACTAGGTAAATTTTTATGTATAATCGAAACAAATCTGTGGAGCTCATCAAAATGAAAATACAAGAAAACAACTTATTTATGTGAACTTATAAATCATAAGCAAGGCTGTGTAAACAGAGATGCTCCAACTAGCAAGTGATAATTAAAACTATCTTGTTAATTGAAATACCATCTGCAACTAAGCCAAACTGATCTTTACAAAATTAAGGCATATCAGATACTTTAACTAGAATCTTTATACCAGATCAAAACCTTGTCAGTACCTTAGTCCAAATAATGCTGTGAATAACAATTTAATGGAATGCGGCTATTAAGTGTCAACAAAAGAGCACCTATTTTAATTTTCAATTTAAGATTATAATAAAAGAATCTCTGTGATAAAGACAAACCTTTTTAAATAAATAAAATGTTGCAAATCAGGGGTGCAGCTTATTCACATAAATAATAAGGAACAGGCGACATAAATATGTGTCAACAGAACAGTGTGTACCACATAACGCATATTTAACAAATGAATAGTTACACAGGATATTGTAAGGGTAGTTTTGGTTTCAGGTTTTGGTGACATGTTGTGGGATATTTTCATACAAACGATAGATAGCGACACATTTAATGTTGATTAAATGCAACTCTTCTCAGAAAAACTCCTGCATAGAAACAGAAAATATTTACTGAATTAAAAATTCTTGCTGCATTTGTTATTAACTATAATGTTAATAAAAAATGCAGCTAGAGTTCACGGAACTCAAAATTTACAGAATAAGTATCCTGTGATTTTGAAAAATCCCATAGCTTGGATAACTATATTTATGCTGCATTTTAATCAAATTTTCTTTCAATGATATTCATTAATAATAATCTGGCAATACATCAAATTTAGATTTTGCTGGAAGGGAAACTTTTCACCACAAAATCAAAGTTGCTATATCCTTCCCTTTAATCCTATTGATTGCGATTTAATCTCTAATACAAACTATAACTTGATACATACTAAAATATTTTGCTTATGGTTAAATATGAAAGATCCTTCGCATGAAGGATCTGAAAGCTAAACTCTCATGTAACTACTCAAGCTGGCAGCTCACGAACACACTTCAATTACATTTGTTATATATATGCTGCTTTTTGTGGACATTTTCAGAAATGATCTTCTCTACAGAGTTGATACTTCTAATGTGTACTTTTTTTAGGCATTCAACTAGCTTGTTGTCTCGTTAAACTACTGAACACTTTATACTGTTATATGCAAATAATAGATCAACTAACAAAAAACTTTAAATAATTTTTCTTAATACTTATTACATCTACTTATATAAACATCTATATTTGAAATTGTGAATAGAATGCAGCATTTTAATGAATTAAAAATTTAGACAACAAATTTCTTACAAAAAGGTTGCCTGAAAGAAATCTTTAGATTTTAAGATAAAAATAAATTTGAACATTTCCTTTACATTGTCAATTTACAAATATTTAGTCAATGAATTTAAGTATTTAGTTGACTTTTTTTATTTCATTAAAAATAACTTCCATTTTGCAAAAAGAAAAAAAAATCAGGCTTGTCAGTGCTTTCAAATCATCTGAAGCAATCTAGGTCTAACTGCCATCTATGAAATTTTTCTTTTAAGTCGTACTTTAGTTTAGGATTGAACTTGCTATAAAACTTCAATCAAAATTCATGAAAACGGTTATTTCTTGCTTATTTATAATTATCAGGGACTGCTCGACTATTCAAGAGAAACCTCTTTACCCTACCCAAAGTAACAAACTGGAACCAATATTATTTAAAAATAACTATACATTGATTGCTTTACTTTTTCCTTCAAGTCTTGTCAAGCATGCTCCAATGGCAATCATTTACTGTATAGGCTAAAATCGTCTTGTCAAGCATGTTCCAATGGCAATCATTTACTGTACACGCTAAAATGTGTATGTTGTGATGGTCTCAAGACTGAGGGATAAAAACATTCTTCGTAACCCATCAGTGCAGGATGGTCCACATACGTCTGTTAAGTAGCAAATTATGACCACCAGTAAAATTTGCAGGAAATTCCTGCCTTTTCCTGCAAGGTCCAAGAACAGAAAGTGATAACCCCTTGGGCCCGGTTCATCGTGGAACGATGATACTTGGCAAAAGGAATTTGCATTATCTCCAAGTGGCTTTCTGGCTGTTCTGCTATTCCTTGCCTAATTTGGGAGGGGGTTTTATCTGGGACTCCAGTTTATGTTGCTGCAGGTTTACATGTAGATAATATGTTTTATTATCATGCAGTTTGTGTGTGTAATTTTTTTTTTTTTATTATTTATGAAAATGTTTCATATCAAGTTTTCTTTTTAAAAATACAACCACTTTAGACATTAATTTTCATCAAGAACACACTTTAAAAAAAATTTCACAGCTTCAAAATTAAATCAAAATTATTCAGAATGTATTATACCTTTGATATCCATATACGCAGTCCGCATATTCAAAAGGCAAATGAGCCATTTCTTGACTTTAACCATCGTATCTACATACCAAACAATGGATTCCTGTATCTCAAAAAATTTCAAAACAGTTACATATGTATAATTTAGAATTCCTAAACATTTGCAGCAAGTACATAAACAATGGTTAAATTTTTACAACATGTAGGTTGTACACAATTAAAAACAATTATTAGCTTAAAAACTTACAAATGGTCTTTCGAACTGTTGAAAGTTACTTTGTGCTGCCTCTGAAACATCTACTCTCTTATGACACCATCCTGCAGATATCTGTCAAATTGTGCATAAAATATTCAAATATGCCATGCTATTAATGCAGGACTTGTTATTACACTTTTTAACAACTGGGGGGGGGGGGGGGGGTAATGACCAACTCCATAATTTTACACCAAGTTTTATTGATGTGACATCACCACATAGAATAATTTGCCAGTATTTTGAAATTAACATTACCAAATGCTGTATTCTGTTTAGTATATCAATCATAAAGTTAAATAAACTGACTAAAGTATGTTACGGTCATAGTAAAAAATTTTATCACCTAAACCAATATTAAGTAAGAGAAAAATATTTAAATAACTCCAATGCTTAAGCTTTCATTACCATGAGTCACTCAGAAGAGATGGCAGTTAATTTGTAAGGATCTTAAGTTTTACTAACGTTTATTTTATTTTAAATCTTTACCATCACTTCTTATTTTCTACTTCCGGCCAGAATTATAAGCGTGAAGGAGTTTATGCAAAGTTGTCTGGCGAACACCAAGTATTTAAGTGTGGCCTTTTTGCCAAGCAGAAGAGAGGAAGCAGTGAGTTCGAAGCAGGCCGCTTACCTTAGAAGTTACGCAGTTGCTATTTGCCTTCCAGGCCAGAGGTTTTAATCCTCTTGATAAATTAAACGTATTGTAGTGTTCACAGTCTCTGTGCTACATACGCTTCCTGTTATTATAAGGCCAATCTTATTCTAAAGTTAAATTAGAGTTTAGTTTTATTTTTATACCTTTTACGTTAGACCCCGAGTGGAGGGTCATTGTATTCCGAAGTACGGAAGTCATTGTATATAAAGAAAAATAAAGGGTCTTGTATACCCTTCGTCTGTATCCTGTCTACTTACTACAATTAGTGAACATAGCTTTAGTAAGCTCTCTGTTCCTAGTCAGGTCATTGTATGTTTCCGAAGAAGGTTAGAAGAGACATTGAACCTGATAAATTGACTTTTTTTTTTTTTTTTTTGGACATTTTCTGATTTCTGTAAATTTAAATAGAATACTTTATTAAATTAAATCCTTGTTTTGTACTTATTAGGAAGCCTTTTTTTAACTGTAATATGTTGAATAATTTCAGAAGGCATTGTGAATAAATCCACTTTTTATCAGAATCTTTTTACATTAACTTTTAAATAAAAATTACTTCTTTTATTGTGTTGAATACATCTAAAAACACTTGAATTGTTTCTAATTGTTCAACACAAACTTAAAAGACAGCCGACTTTTAGCACGTTTTATATATGTGCTTTAATTTCAAGTACCTAAACTTCAGTAAAAACAATTAAGTGTTTATGAAAATTACTGTATTAACATAAAATAATTTTCTCTTTGAAAACTGACCTTTTTAAAGCAGATTAATTGTAAGGTTATCAAAACTAAGCAAATGATTGAAGCAGAGTTTATGCACATACATCATCAGATACTGAAAACACACAAAGAAGTTGGAGAAAAAACAATGGAAAACAGCAAGAATCCTCATAAACAGTCACGAGAGACTGCAAAACTAAAAATGATACAAAGCAAACAAGATGAAAACAGAAAGATTATTCTTACAAAGAAATCTGATAATAAACCCTGTACTTATTTATATGTAATCATAATCTTTTTATTAAAAGTTTCTGCAAGCGTAAACATCATAAGGATAATACACTTTTAAGGAGATTTAATAGAACTTGTGCTATCAAAAGACGACCCAGAAATAACACTAAAGGACCAAGACTTCGGGCTTTTGAATATTTGATAAGACTTAATGGCCAAAATGCTGGCATTTGAAAATATTAAGGAAAACTCAAATAAGCAGCAGATTGTTGTTTAAAATGAAAATCTCAAGGACATATTTGAGGTAATAAAATATATAAACAAGACACCAATACTTAAATACAGATCTTTCTGTTGCAAAAATGTAAAAAAGTCAACATTTTGACCTACACAAGGAACCTTCAAAAGATACTTGTCAAAAGTGTGGTTACAGAACATGGACAAGAGAAAATCAAAATCCGTATTTTCACCTAATTTGATTCAGAGATGAGACACAAAAGCTAAAAACAATGATCTTAATTTCCGATAGCTTTAATTAAACAGGCCCAATGACACTCATTTTACAATTACAGAAGCTCATGCAATAAAGAACCAGCATACAATAAAGGGGTTTCCAACGCACTAGCACAATGGCACCCGCCGCTTTGCTATCACAATAAAAATGTTTTAGTTTTCAACAGTTTCATTTTTAATGAAATAGAAATTGCATCAAATACAGATACCAGCATAAAGCGAAATGCAAACCAATCAAATACAGATACCAGCATAAAGCGAAATGCAAACCAATCTCTTTTCCTACGTATATGTATTATTAACTCTATCCAACGGATGCCATCAAACGGATAGTCTAGAATGTACTATTAGGGACAAAAAGGTTGTAAACCTCCTCACTAGCATGTAAATATGAATATAAGTGCATGCATATATGCACATCTGTATGTTTGTGTGTGCAATACACACATCACACAGACCACTAGAAAGGTCAAACCTAAGCAGCATCAAATCTAAATACAGTGAAAAGTCGTTAATCCGGACCTCAAAGCTACAAACTTTCTGCGCATGCGTCAATGCATAATACTTTCACGCATGCACGTTTAATGTATAAGGGACAGTATAAGCTAAGCTAAAATTACCTAATTATCTATTTCAGTTAATGTTGCCGATTACGTTTTTCCTTAATCTTCGAATTGGATCCGGCTTATTATTTTTTGCAGACTGTTAGAGCAATTTTATTAAAGTAAGCTTGAACTTTCGATTATGTCAAATAGAATTTTCGATGCTGGAGCTGCCAAAGGATCTAAAAAGCAAAAGTATGTTTCAACGCCCATCAAACAAAAAGTGGTATTGCTGCAAAAAGTAGAGAAAGACATACCCTTTTGTTTCTCTAACCATTGCGAAACCTGTTTATCAATTTCACGCTGCTCTGCTGGGGTGGGGGCAGGGGGGGACGTTGCTGCGCGGCCCGAATTGGAAGTTGATCTGTCAGCACTATACTTATCTTCAGGGCAGATGTTTCTATTTTATTTGGCTTATAACTCCTTACTAAATGTAGTACTTCATCTCGATGTACTCCATCTTTGATATGATTTAAATCAAATTCCTCGTCATTATAATTCGCTTCCTATAACGAAGAAAGTAACAGAGGTTATTGAAAACGAAAAAATTTCGATTGACAAATTAGTCGGTATTCTCGACACAGCAATTATAGCACTTGAACAGCGGAACTTTGTAACTGAACAAGAAATTATGTCTGTTTATAGAATTAAAGAGAATGTATTATCACATAAAAAACGAAACAACTTAAGTTGAAAGAAATGTTAAGTAAACAAATAAATATTAAGCTTTTTTTTTTTTTTTTGTAAATTTTGATACCCTTTAGACCATAATTGTTCTTTACTTCATAAATTAGTTTCATATTTTTAATTTTGTAATTTCTGCATGCCATCTTACCAGATTTAAACTGATGATCTATAATCCGGAATCGCCGAAGTCCCGATGAGTCCGGATTAAAGACTTGACTGTATAATTTTGATGAGGTTACATTTAATGTAAACAACTTATGTCTGATGAGGTCAATTTTAATATATCCTCAACAAAATTGAATTCTTTATAAAAAAGGTAGATCAACAATCTTGGAAATATATATCAGCCATTATTGTATCCTAATGACAGAGCCAGTTCAATAAAAGGGACAAGAATTTAAGGCATACATCTCAAATAAAACATACCTTCTTCAGGGTTCGTACACATTTCTGCACAAGCAAATTAAGTACTTTTAAAGAAAAAAATTAAGGACCTATGAGCAAATGGGAACTGAATAAATTTAATTAAAAATATTATTCTATGCCTGAATTTCACTTTTGTAATATCATCCTAAAAATAAAATAGATCCCTAAGTAGTATGCATTATTACTAAACATGAATTAATGAACATAACTATTAATAAGTTTGAGAATAAAATAAAACTCCATGCAGTTTACCAAGTAGCATTAAATATTTTACATTTATAATGGGTTTGACATATTTGAAAGAAGATATGTGACATTTACGTTTTACTAATAGTTAGCTTTATGCTAATTTTTTTATGCCTCATTTTGTCACATACTTGGTCAGTCTAGAGGTGAGGTTCTCAACCTGTGGTACGCAAGAAAAAAATAGGTGGTACACAAACAAGCAAAGTATTTTGAGCTATTTCAAAACAGTAAGTGGTAATAGTACTTTGTAGTAGTGGTACTAAAGGTTTTCAATTTTTGTTTAGATGGTACACGTTAGTCAAAAGGTTGAAAACCGCTGGTCTAGAAGTTTAGTAAATAGCAGGTAGATTTTACGTCAAATGGCTTAGGTTAAAATGAGAAGCAAGATCATAATCAGCATCTTTCATAACAAAAGATTGAATGTTATCACCGCTGCTGAGCTTTGTGTAGAGTTCCAGGAGTTGTAACCCAGTTAATATACTTTCAGGTTCCAATAAGCCATTAAAGCACCAGGGGTGATAAGTTGTTTTGAATTATTTTAAGTCTCACTAGATGCAAAGAATAAGTTATACTTGAATTTCTACATTTTTGTGTTTTATCTTGTGATCACAGTGAGTATTAAAAAAAGGCAAGAACTCGCTTTAATATGTAGAGATGTAAGCAGTTAGTTATAAATAATTAAATTAGGTAAATAGTTAACCTTAGTCAGTATGGATTTACATGGCCACTATTAATTTTTTTAACAGTATTTGTTAAAAAAGGCCTATTAAAATCAAAATCTAATAAAAATTCACAGTTTAAAATGCATGTCATTTACAACACTGATTCTTAAAGGATATTAGAATAATCACGCATTGAAAGCTACAAAACATTTCTGTTGTGTAACAACAACACCCAACAAAATATTTATCCATCATTTTAATTTGAAGCCTTCCCAGACATTTTGTCTAGTTCATATCGATTTCCTTCTCTATTTAAGCATCTTTTCTAACAAT